CTCAGGTGGCACAGCCCCCGCGGTGTCCCCTCTGTCACCTCGGGGCCAGCTCAGGTGGCACAGCCCCCGCGGTGTCCCCTCCCCACCTCCACGCCGTGCCACTGCCTGGGTGACACCGGGTCATTCTCGGGTCCCGACCCCTCCCGGCTGTGTCACCGTCCGGGACTGATGGAGCCACACCCAGCGGGTGTWTCAGAACCTCCTGCRCTGGAAGGGACTCACAGGGATCWCCCAGCCCAGCTCCTGCGYGGGACAAACCCCAAAGTCCCCCYWGGCACCCCAGSCATTGTCCAAAGCTCCCTGAACTCACAAATCTGCGTCAAACCATAATCCATATCTTTATCCCGGCACCCACTGCCATCAGAGCTCTGTCCAACCCACGGTGCCAGACCCTGACAAGAAGTTAAAGACACCCGGGCACCTCTGGCACGTTTGGGATGTTCCATTCCCTGTTTCTCTCTGAACTGAGGATTTTTTTTTCCCTGGTGGTTTGCAGGCTTTGGCAGTGCTYGCTCACACCCTCCCCAAGCAATGGCAAAGAGCTCCCGGTGGCAATGAGGGGTGGATCATTGATGACTCGATGTCCTGGGATGGAGATCTTTGGGGAGAAGGTCCCTTGATGGGATACAGAGAATGTGGAAGCCACATGCAGCTGTGGAGGATGAGAATGGGCAGATCGGGAGAGCACCAGCAGGAAAAGCCACCCCTAGCCCGGATCCAGGGCTCAGCCAGGAGCCTGCAGCTCCCGCTCTGGTTTCGGGGCAGGTTCATTTGGAAAGCCCTGCTGGGGAAGCCGCATTTCAGGACTTTTCCCCGGGAGAAGYACAAGGAGGACGGCAGGGACGCTCCGGTGAGTGCAGCCCAGCGCCGAGCCRCTCCTTTCCGCCAGCACCGACCGAGTTCCAGCTCCCTCATCCCCCTCCCTCCATCTCCTGCGGGTGTGCAGCCCCCGGCAAAGCCTTCCCTTGCCCTTTGCCAGTGCCCCCTGGCAGGCTGGCAGAGCCATTGGAGCGGCTGGCAGAGGCGGCTGTGTCTTACCTTTGGTTTTAAAAGCAAAGTTACAGTACTTGCAGACGTACGGCCTGACGTCTGTGTGCGTGCGAATGTGCTTCTTCAGCATGCTGGGTTTCTTGCAGCGAATTCCACACTCCTCACAAACATACTTCCCTCGTCCGCGGCCTCGCACATACACATACTCTTCGTTTGATTTGTACCTATGAGCAACAGGGGGCGTGATAAAGGGGGGGAAAAAAAAAAGAAAAAAAAAAAAGAAGATTCCCAGATTCCAGATTCCCACCTCGGCAGAAGAAGTCACAGCTTTGCTGGGTTAGTTCAGTTACGGGCACCACAGGTCCTGGTTGCTGTTTGGTAGCTCGGGGGAATTGGGCTGAATTATGCAAATTATCACCCAAAGCCTGTGCCCAGAGGCCTCCAGACACCTGATCTCTCATCTGGAATGGGATCTCGTGTCCTACACCTGCTCCATGCAGGCAARAATCCCAAAGGCTCAGAGAAGTCACAGGGGCACCCCGCTGTCCTGATGTCCCCATCYTCAAACTGAGGCACTCAGGCCAGTYTGGACAGGCTGTGTCCCAGTCCAGCCCAGCTGCCTCTCACTCGCTGCCTTTGAGAATGTGCCCRCTCCGGGTCTGCACCGTGCAGGGCACTGGGAAAGCACATCCCGGCCAAACGCCGTGGGACAGAGCCTYCCCACCCGCCGGGGCTGCTCAAAACCACCCGAGAGGTCACTGCTGCCACACTTCCAGCTGTGATCCCTGCATGGCCTGACTGAGCCCCCCAGAATGAGGGGAAAAGAGAAAGAAGAGAAAGACAAAGAGAAGAAAACATCCTTTTTTATAATAAATAAACTGTGCCACCGCTAAATGCAAACACTGCAGGCTCCAGACCCTTTTATCCACAGCACAGGATCACCATTTAGGTTTACCCGAGAGAACGAGATCGGCCATACTTCCTTCCCATCCCATATTTTATTTTCTGCCCGTGAATTAATGCACAGGGAAGGCTGCAGGATGGGGGTTTGAACAACCCCTCGTAAGGCTGAGACAAATCTTTCCACCTCCCGCTGCTCGGCAAACGAACTCTGCAATTTCCTGCGCTCGCAGCACGAGGAGAATAAGGTAACGCGAAATCGCTCCCCTCGGGTCTGAAAGAGGCCAGATTTCTCAAGCGTGGCACTTCTTGCAAAGTCATTTTTCCACCCTGGAGGAATTGAGGCCGCTCTTCGGAAATCTCTGAACATCCACCCTGGAAAAATCYGGCTGCCTGAAGCCTCTTAATGGGAGATCCGAAGGCATTCGACACCATCAGTGTCTTCCCAGTGAGGCCTGTTCCAAACCAGAATGGTGAGGAAGGAGCAGCCAGACTGARGGGAAACTTGAACAGAAACAGCTGCACTGGAATGGACTGAACACTTCAATAAATTAATATGGGATAAATACTAAAATATATATATATAAGGAGGAAGAATAGGGGTCATTTAAAAATTAGTTTTAAAAAATACACGAAGATGGTTAATGCAGCCCTGGATGGACAGGGTGGGGATGGCATGGTCTGCACCATGGAAACACATCCCAGCCGCCTGCAAGGATGGATTCAGAGGTGTTGAGTCCCCCTGCAGGGACTGCGGGTCTTCCCCACGCTTTGTTCCATCTCTCAGGAAGAGTCCAGGCAATYTCAGCTCCTGGGGGTGTTTGGGGGAGCTGCAGCTGAAATTCAGGATGATTTTCCTGGGCGCGGGAAGTGAGTCGAGACTGAACCATTCAGTCAGGCTGAGCCCCCCTGATCTATTCAGAGGCATGGGAGAGGCTCAGAGGGGCCGAGCTGCTCATGAATTCAGGGRATGAGCTCACAGATTCTGGTTTGGACACAGATCGGAGAAAAGAGAGGAAAATTGGGTGTCTGAGCAGTCCCAGTCTGAACCAGCAGCAGCCCGAGACTGAACCAGATCATGGGGTCCAGCACGTGTGGGGACAGTTTGTGTTTGTCYTTCAGCAGCAGCAGAAGTTCTCCAGATCATCACCAGGGTCACTGGTGCCCCAGAACCTTCATTTTATCTCCTGTGACCAAAGCCACAGCAACRCCACCCCATCGTAACATTCCCAACCAACAAAAAAAAATCCCAAAAAAACCCTAAAACCCCCAACATCTAAACCCTGCATCACGAGGCTCTCATTGTCTGGCCTGGGAGGGGTGAGGTGGTGTCCAAAGAGCTCACACCATGCCCAGTCTCCTTCCCAGTGTGCCCAGTGATCCCCATTGAACYGCACAGATTCCAGGCACACCTCACTAATTCCTGGGAATTGGTGATATCCCTTTTCCATTCCACCAGGGACTTCACRTGACAGCATCCAAAGGAGCAGAAGGCATCAACAATCCTCATTTTTTGTCTCTTCAGGGTTGCACCGGAGGCTTCCTTATGCTCCTCCTTCCTGCCTGTCCCTGTGCTGGGAACCACTGGCTGGCTAAAAACTGGAATTGCTCCTTTATCAGCTTTATTTAGTTAAGAATTGGAATTGCTGCTTTATCAGCTTGATCCAGTTAAAAACTGGAATKGCTCYTTTATCAGCTTGATCCAGTTAAAAGCTGGAATTGCTCCTTTATCCAGTTACAAACTGAAATTTCTCCGTTATCAGCTTTATCCATTTAAAAATTGGAATTGTTTCTTTATCTAGTTAAAAACTGGAATTGCTCCTTTATCARTATTATCCAGTCAAAACCTGGAATTGTTCCTTTATCCAGATACAAACTGGAATTGCTCCATCCYCTCCATGGCCTCTCTGGCACTCGCAGTGCCCTGAATTACAGCCTCCCATGGAAATGTCACTCTGTCCCTTCCTCAGCCTCACCAAAGCCACYGGGGCTGCACTGAAAGGGACCCGTGGTTTAATCTGGAACTGGGCACCACCGTTTTTCTGACATTATGGGAGGCTCCAGCAGAGCTTTTCAATTATTTTTTTCCACAGCTCCCCAAGACCACGGGGAAAACGGGCAGGGAGAGGGGAGAAAGAGGAAAATCCAGCTCATCTTCAGGAATACCCAGAGACCATGTGGGAAATGGGCAGGGAAAGGGAGGAAAAGCCAGCTCATCTTCAGGAATGCCAAACCAGCCAGGGGGAAAGCAGGAGGTGGCAGTGCCATAACCCAGAGGATGCTGCTGCCAATGCCACCTGCCAKGGATTTATGGACATAATTCCTTCCATGTGATCCTGGTTTCCCTTTCCCCACATGTCCATCTGATCTGCATCAGGAGGATGAATCCTCGCTCTGTGTGAGGATTGACCCCAGGCAGAGGATCCTCCTCGCCCCACCAGGTTTGCTGCAGGGAGATCCCGGGAATCACCACAGCTGGAGCTTGTGCCAGCAAATCTGGGCTTCTCCTCCAGAGCACTGTGGGATTCAGGATGCCATTGTGGAATTCAGAATCCCGTTGTGGATTTCAGGATCCCGTTGTGGAATTCAGGATCCCATTGTGGATTTCAGGACCCCATTGTGGATTTCAGGATCCCATTGTGGATTTCAGGATCCCGTTGTGGAAATCAGGATCCCCTTGAGGATATCAAGATCCTGTTGTGGAATTCAGGATCCCACCGTGGATTTCAGAATCCCGTTGTGGAAATCAGGATCCCATTGTGGATATCAGGATCCCATCATGGGATTTAGGATCCCAACGTAGGATTCAGGATGCCATAATGGGATTCAGGATCCCATTGTGGATTTCAGGATGCCATGTTCAGCAATTCCCAGCTCCTACCGTGCCACCCTCCCTTCAATCATTCAGAACACAGAGGGTTAGTGGGCCATTAGGAGCCCAGGCACTGGTTTAGGGAATTGTCCTTTCAAACTGGAAGATGAAAATCAGCAAATCTGAACACACAAAGATAAAAATCCAGCATTGATGTGTTTTTGAAAGGTTTTTCGGTGCATCCTACTGGCTCATTTTGGGTCACCGCTACAAACCCTTCTTAGGGCAGGAGGAACTGGCACGGGCATGGCAGTGCTGGTGTCACCTTTAGCAGTGCAGGAGCCCTGGTGGCCCCAGGATGGGCCATCCCTGCCAGGGGCACAGGAAACCCAACAATGGGAAAACACAAACCTGGAGAAAGCTTTGTCTCAGCTCCTTCCCTTCAGCTGAAACCCAAACCACCAAGAATTTACTCCTTTGGAGCTTCAGCTCTCAGGATCTGCCGTTATAAATTCCTCACCATCCTCTGGAGCCACAAACACTTCTTTTTTTTCCCCCTCAGTGCTGTGAGCCAAATCCAAACTCTCCCTGTGGCTGGAAACCACAGGATAAAACCTCGGACAGCCAGTGGGAAGGAAGTTTGGTGGTTGGCAGGAGGGAAGGCAGAGCAGGTTTCTGGGACTTTCATTCCTGACAGCTGCACTGAGTCACCCCTTCCCTCCTCCTTCCTTTTCCAAATTTTTTTTTTTTTTAAATTCCACCAGGAATTTAAAAATTTGCCCCGCAAAGGCTTTGCTGATGGGACTCTGCTGGTCACAGCCTGGGCACGGCAGTGACATTTTTATGATCAAGGTGGGCAGCCTGAATTCTGTGATTTCTCATGATTGCTGCATCAAAGAACAGCCCTGGAAACTTTCACAGCGACTGAAGAAGTATTTCTTTGGCTGGTTTTGACATTTGATGAAGTCCCTGGTTTGTTTTTTGGATTTTGGGCTCACAGGAGCAGGAATGGGATATCTGATCCCTGTCCTGAGCCGCTGGGTTTGGCTCCTGCCAAGCGAACCGAGTCAGGCTCCGGAGCTGCCGCCTCTGGTGTCAGATTTGGGGTTTATTGGTGGCAATTCTCATCTGTCACCGGGCTGCCCACTCATCTGGCTCAGCTAAATCCTTGGGAAGTTCCTGACAGGCCACTCTGGGATTAATTAATCTGATTTCTGCTTCRTGTCTCCTGCAGAATGTGCCAGATCACGGATAAACGCGTAACCGCCACAGCGCCGCTAATTACCGATCGTTAATTGCCTTCCTCACTGCTCCTTGCGAGGTGACCGCTCCCAACCCGAGGGTGCCACAGGAATTCTCAGCTTTTCCCGTGGAATCCCTGGGGAAACACCAGCTGGGAGGGCCTGGCCGAGGCTGACCGCACACAGGTGTGACCTCAAGGCCAGACGGTCACCAGGAAACGTCCCCGAGCTCGTGCCAAACCCCAGCAGAGCACACAGAAGGATTCCTTCA